TCCCAAACTCTCCTGAAGCTTCAGCATGACACAAAGTTGTGCCTAATTAATTTGTATGACCAGTGCTGGCTCTGTACAACTTCCAAACGTGTGCGCTGTGCTCCCAGCCAAGGAGGTGCTGGAGCTGGCTGCCTGTGGCACTGGTTGGGTTAGAGAGGGTGCACAGCTTCAGCGGCGCTCCGGGTCTGGCGAGTGTGTCGAGTCCCGCCTGGGCTTCAGCCTTCTCTCTGCCCTCCCTGCTCTAAGCCCACCCAGGGCAGCGCTTTTGCTGACTTAGCCCAGGGCACACGCTGTTGGCAGCCAACACACCCAGCAGCTTCTGGGATGAATATACCCATCCTTGACTGTTGGCTAAAATGAGAGTACATGTAAGTGTTTCTCAACTGACACGTGTAGGCAGATGTGTTTTAAATCATGTAACCTATTGTCCAGGCTGTAACTCCACCACGTGAACCCACAAACGAAAACAAATGCGTTGAGTGTGTTGACAATTTTGCCTTGTTACTAAAATGAGCTTGCTGAGCCCTGTTCTCAGAAGGCCAGCTGGATGGTTACTCTCAGCTGGATGGTTACTCTCAGCTGGATGGTTACTCTCAGCTGGATGGTTACATCTCAGCTGGATGGTTACTCTCTAAGTTCTTCACGTGATTGCAGGCTTCTCATTTTGCAGTTTTGCTCAAATTTGTTAAGAGGGAGTTGTTTTTCTGTTCTCATACCTGTTTGCATGGTACATGCTTTATTGGGGTGGAGGTTATTCAGAGACAAAGCCCATCCATTATTCTAGATAAATGCACGCGTATGTGTGTAAAGATATATAATGTGTTCTGTGTAAGCAATAAGCAAAATGTGGTATGTATCACACTTTAAAAGTGGCTTCAAGAGAGATAAATGACATTGATTAAAAGCACAGATGGTATCTTTTGTGTCTAGAAGTAAACACCGCAGTGTTTAACCCAGTGGAATGCAGTATAACCTACATATGTATATACTGTAATGTTAAAGAAAATATTGCTGGGGTGCAGGTTGAAGAAAAGAAACTTCGGAACTTCCTCGGGTCTCTTCCATAGCTCCAATACCTTCATCTAGGGAGGAAAAAAGTTTACAAGACAGTCTTTCACATAAAATACAGAAAAGATTTTTTTTTTTTTTCTTAAATATTTGGCTCTGTGCTATAATTTGAGGGAAGGCCTAGAGTAAACTGTGAAAAGCTCAGCCTGTAAATAAGTAACCTACATTGCTTTCCGAAGAGTCTAGAAGAGTGATGGAGTGATGTTTTCTGTCATGAACTCTGTGGTTACCTGTGAGCAGCAGTCAAGTATTTGGAACTGGAACGTGTGCCTCTGCGTTGTGCAGCAGCCACTTGGAGCCAGGGTGTCTGTCTGGTGGCTGTCACTGCATCCGACTCGATGACCGGTGGCTCTGAGCAGCCTCAGAGAGGACCGAAGCAGCTGTCTGAAGCTAAACAAACTCTTCTCCCGTGTCTGCTAGTGGGTTTTATGTGTCTGAAAGCTATCCCTAGATGTTCCCAGTTGTTTTGCTGTGTGTGTTCCTCAAAAAAAATGCTTGATTAGATTAAGCACGTTGAATTTCAATCCTCTCTGCTGCCTTTTGTAGTAGGTCTCAAATCTTGATATATCAGGAGAAGACCTTTTTGTTCTAGTCCTGCTACAATTAATGCTGTTCCTTGCCATTTCTGTTGTTTCTGTCCTTCCCTGGGCTTTTTGTTTTGTCTTCTGCTACCTTATATACGACTTTCTCCACACAGGTTTGCAAGTAACAAATACAAGGCAGTTGGAGCATTGGTTCTTCAGGGCAGTGCTCTTCAAGGATCCCTTGATATGTCAAAATTTGATCCTGCTTAGTGTATGCATCTGTGGGCAGCCGGTTATTTAGTTCCTGCTTTTGGCAAGAAAGAGGGGGCTCTACTCCAGGATGCAAATAATGTGCATTTGCTTGAATTCAAATTTCCTTGTGTTAAATTCTTTCTGACATAGCTATCAGCAAACATTTGTAATTAGTGTTACTTTTTTTGCTACGCTGCCGAAGTCCGGCTGCACACGGCTTCCTATATCCTTCTTACATTAACAAATTTGCATGGCTTCTTCTCTTGCCCTTCCTCCAAATATGTTTAGGAAACTGCTTAAACCTAGAAGTATCCCAAAATAGAGCTACTTTCTTGTTACTTGTCAACATGAAGTAGCAGAAGCAAATTCATGTGCTAGCAACACAAGCGTTGTCGTTTCTTGACTGTTGAATACTTTGCTGTACAAATATAAGTGCTGTGGACATTGCACAAACCATGCTTGAGATAAATCATGTATGTTACAGTACACAAGGCTTAATGGATTACTTTTCCATTGCTCAATTTAAAATTAAAAACACCAGCTTCCTGTTTTTCTTGTCCTGAAGTCCGGTCTATCTGAGCTCTTATAATTTCTAAACCAGCCTGTCAAAAAAAGAATTCAGTAAAGTGACTGAAAAGTGACTTCTACTTAACCTCTGATTTTTAGAAACAATTGGTTGAGTCCTAAATAGATGAAAACAGTCTATTTTTAGGCCCTAATTTAGAGAATTGATATTTCCACATTTGCTTTGTCATAGCTGGTAGTAGTTGCTAAATTGTGAAAGCCTGTAGCTATTACAAATGCTTGGAGGATTGCTGAGTGCTCTGCTGTAATGCATTAAGAAGCTCCGTGCACTGTACATTTCAATTTATAATAAGGGAGTCTAGATGATAGCACAGACACTGAAATATTTCAAGTCTAGACTACTGTCTTAAAAACCAAAGGCTATTGGCTTTTTGGTGGAGTAAGTTGGAAAGTAACTGATAAGGGCAGTTGAAGTACAACAGACTTCGAAAAGTCACAAATTCTCTAAGCGAGAGTGAGCTGGGAGGTTTCAGCCACTGCCTGTGATGAAAAGGGAACTGGGGTTTGAAATGGCTGATCAGTCTCGCAAGGGTTGAGTGGTTTCTGAAAGAGGTCGCATGCAGACCCTCGTTAAATGGGGAAGATGAGTTTCTGCAACACTGGGTTTAGCAAGAAAAAAAATGGAGAAACAGAAAAGCAAAGTTCCTTATCTTCAGAAAATGCTAACATTGGTGCTTTGCCAATGACAGAACACATGGCTGAAAGGTTCGATAGAACAGGTGTTCTGTTATATGGCTCTTCGCACCATTGTCTAATAAAAATAGGTTGCTGAAGACTTTAGAGTGGAACTACATATTGTAATAAGTGGAGGAACTTATGATGTAGCTAATACTTTTATGACCCCTTTAATATCCCAATGTGCCTTACAAATCACCGTGTTTATAAAGAAATTCTCTTACTGTTGCTTCTGAGGTAGAACGTTTTGGTTGCATTTACTGAACTGATTGAAGAGGAGGCCGAGGGGAGACCTTATCACCCTCTACAACCGCCTGAAAGGAGGCTGTAGCAAGGTGGGGGTTGGTCTCTTCTCCCAAATAACAAGCGATGGGATGAGAGGAAACAGCCTCAAGTTGCATCGGGGAGGTTTAGGTTAGATATTGGGAAAAATTTCTTCACTGAAAGGGTTATCAAGCGCTGAAACGGACTACCCAGGGAAGTGGTCGAGTCCCCATCCCTGGGAGCTATTTAAAAGATGGGTAGATGAGGTGCTTAGAGACAGGCTTTAGTAGTAGACAGGTATGATTGGACTTGATCTTAAAGGTCTTTTCCAACCAAATGATTCTGACTTGATACTGTCATCGTGTCATGTTAGCCACGGGGAAAAAAAAGGAGAAATACTACCTTGAACTGGACCTATGGACCTGAAGAGCTATGTTACTACTTTCAGTTTATCTCTCTAACATAATGCCAACTTTCTCTTTCAGAGCCATGGTGTCATGGAAAGGGATATACTTTGTACTTGCACTATTCTTGGGAAGTTTTTTTGGAAGTATATTCATGCTCGGTCCTTTTCTACCATTGATGTTTATCTCACCGGCCTGGTATCGATGGATCACCGATTGCATTGTGGCCACTTGGCTCACGCTCCCAGTGGTAAGTTGCAGTTTGAGCCAAGTTCTGGGCAAAAGTTCATAATCCCACAATTTACTTTGCTCACTAACACTTGTAATTTTATTTTGTTAAAAATGTTTGTCCTTTTGTCAAAACAGGCCTTAACATAGTTGCTATCTGTGGAGATCTAGGTTTTAGTTCAGTGTTGCAGATTGTGTGCCTGTCTACAGTCCCCCTCGTCTTCCACAGTTTATAGGTAAGCTAATGCTATGCCTTACTTGTACTCTTGAAACGGCGTTTTCATGCTATCTCCATCCAGTGTCAGTTAGATGCTGACCAGAGAAGAGTAGGTGAAGCACTAGTAAGCAGGAGAATTTTTTAAAATACAAACTTCCTAAATGAGTTGCCTTATAAACTCTTCCTTTCGCCTGTGCTCCAACTATCTAATTAGGAAAATTATTCACTGTCTGGTACGTTGTTGCTGACCTTCACTGTTCCCTTCCTTAATCCTCTTAGAATTTAGTCCTTGTAGTTGAATTAGAGACAAATTATTTCAGGTGAAAAAGAACTTCCCTAGAAATGAGTTTTCCTCACTTACACGGCATCAGCTTTATAACTATAAGAGTCTGGAAATCAATAACAAAGCTCTTCCCTGAATTGTTCCTGAGTATGAATGGGATCTGTCTCTTCATCCATTCTCTAAAAACCAAGGGACTTTGTTCCTTGAGGCCTTTAAAGATTTGTTTAACGTTTTCTGAAGTAAAATGCTATATTGGCGTGCAGAAACACGTGTCTTGTGGCACAAAGGAAGATTTATTTTTATTACTTATCAAATAGTTTCTGCCTTCTCTGTTTCTGTCTTTTGTGTTTTAAAGGGGTGTGAGCTGTTTCATGTTCTAAAACTTTTGTCCTTTTCATCGTTACTAAATGTGATGAAATTAGGAGGAAGAAATAATTACCAATAAAGGGAATAGAGGGATTGTTATTTCTTGCCATGATGAAATTTAGCTGAGTACTGATAGCATCACAAAATCAATCCTTTCTGCCTGTGTCCCAATTTTTCTAGAATTGCAAACTCCCCAAAATAATATACTGGTCTCTTACTTGATTAGCTACCTGGGCTTTATAATTCTGGATTATTACAACTAGTTTGTGGTAACTTTTGCAGTCTAGAAGTTTGATTTCAGCCCACACTGGACCTAAACCAAAGCAATTTGAATATTTTTGTGAAAGGACTCTGTCTTGTAAGAATCATGGGGATTTAGGTTCAGGAAAGTGATCTGAAAAAGATTTTGCACCAACCTTTTTGAGGCTCAGACCTTGCCTGCGTTAGTTCTCTGTCCTTACACTACTCCATTCTTAGTCAGGAGAAGCAGGTACTTGTATTTGTCTCTGTGAACAATAAACTAATGTTGGGCCGGTTGGACTCCTACAGGGAAGCTCTGACCCTGACCTCGTAGATATAAGAAACTTCCATCTTCCTCACTCCTCCGCCACATATTTCCTTTCTAGCAGAGTGAGCAGGATGGGACAGTGAGTGGGTCTTAACTGTTTGGCTTCTGCTAGCATTAGGGTATGTAGTACAGGGCATCGCTTCATCATGATGTTTAACTAGATGTTAAATATGTAATACGATTCTTATTAAACTATCAAACAAAGTCTGTCCCTCTCTTTTCTGAAAAGATAACTGTTTACCATTTTGAGCTATATGACCTGTTCTTCTTTTGCAGTGGTCCGTAGTTACTCTTGATACCAAACACTTTTGCCAGAGTTATAATGAGCTGAGTTACCAGCAGTATTAATATTTGGCCCATATAATGCTCTTCATTCTGAGATCTCAAGCCGTTTGTGTCATTCCAGTTTTACAGGTGACTTAAACTGAGAAATTTGTGTTCTTTGAGGTTCTCTGACACAGAGGTGGCAGAAATAGGAACAGAACAGAAAGTTGGTTTACTTCTTAGAGTTCTGTTTAAATCCCCAGGTAAGGGAGTAATCTGAAGCGCTTCCAATTTTTTATGTTAAGGCCAATTGTTAAGTTTATTCCTGTAGGTATCCAGCCATGTTTTGTGGTTTCTTTTTCTGGGCTTACTGGGTTGGACAGTGGCCTTCCAGTGGCCCTAACCTTAGGCCCTTAAGTTTCTAGATAATATCTGTGGTCTACCTTTGTTTCTTGGGACTTTACCTTTCCAGTGTGTTTCCACTAGGTATTAAAAGGTTGCAAGGCACTAGCATTGTCATCCATATTTTTGAGTAATTTCTGGTCCTGGTCTTTTGCTGTAACGAGCCGGCACTCATCCTTACTCTTTCTTGTAGGATTTGGGAATGGTCATGGGTCAGAAACCATTTCCAATAGGCAATTTGTATGTGGCCACCTTGTTTTGGAGATGGAGATAGTTTAGTGGTGTGAACGTGGCCAGAGCATGCCGTTGGGCTCTGATGTTACATACAACTAGTCTAGTTGTATGTTCATGGTACAACCATACAGGTTATGAAACCAGCTCTTGCCTGCTTTTTTCTTTTGATAAACCACCAACCTGTTTTATAGCTTGACCCTTCAGAGCCACGTAGTGGGTAAAGCAAGAAACACGAACTTCGAGCATCACTGACTGTTCAGGCAAAATGGAGAAAGCTGCTTGCCTGGCCTCTTGTTTGTGTCCCTCCAAGTTTGAGGCTTGTTCTATGCTTTGGGATGGCACTTCATAGATGACTGTGTACCAACGTTTGGTGGTTGATGCATTTTGCAAACTGTGGGGTGGAGGCCCAGGCTTCAAGGTAGCGCTTGTAGAGCTGTGTAGACCTAGGTCCACATCACTGCCCTCTGTTCAAGCTTGTTTGGGATTTCTCTCCCTCAGCTGGTCTTTCTGCCATTAGGTTCTTGCCGTTTTTGCAGGCAGAAGCCAAGCACAAACATGTTGACCATTTGGACCCAAGCAGAAAGTAAGGCATCTACTGATGCCTTCCCAGCCCTGACGATATTGAGCAATAAGTTATTTGTGCAGCCAGTCTCTCCTGAGATTTTACTTACCAAGTTATTTTCCATACTGATTCCCCTGCTTCTATTCCTACATAATAGTATTCTGCGAAAACCAGGGAAAACAGAGTTCAGTGTTGTAAGAAGTGCTATTTAATTGTTGTTTCCTCTTCCATTACACAGCTGACTGTTACTGTGGAAAAGCTGGCTGCTTTATTAGAAAACAGTCAGAAGTTAGTTTACCAGTGATAATGTGAGTGAATAAGTGAAATGATATAATTCAAATTAATTTTTATTGCTAATGGGCTGATGCTTTTCTTCTGGGAGTAAAGCCATAATATTGAGATTGTATTTCTAGGCCTTGCTGGAGATGGTGTTTGGTGCCAAGGTGGTTGTCACTGGTGACGGATTTGTTCCTGGAGAAAGGAGTGTCATTATCATGAACCATCGCACACGAATGGACTGGATGTTCCTGTGGAACTGCCTGCTGCGATACAGCTACCTCAGACTTGAAAAAATCTGTCTCAAATCCAGTCTTAAAAGCATTCCGGGATTTGGTAGGTCACTAAACCCTTTGAAAGCAAAATGTGTTTAAATTCTGCACAGCACTGTACATACCCTGTTAAATGACCTAGGTTTAAATTCTATTTCAGTATTTTTAAAAAACTTGTGTAAAATATGTGGCATATTGAGTGATTAAACTATAAATCTCCTGGAGGACACTTGGACTATATGCTTAAGTATTTCTTTTTAAAGATACTACATGTGCTGCTGTTGCTTATATGTAAAAATATTCCTGCTTTACATACTGAAAGCATTTTTCAAAATGATGAAAAAAGATTTTATGAGTCTTTTCAAAGTCTCTTTCAGCACTTTGGTTTTAGTGCTATTTCACCCCACATTGCAAATGCTCTCATCAGGCTTCTTCATTACCCAACTTATACTATTGAGGAGATTAAAAAAAAAAAGAAAATTAAAGAAAAAGTCCTGTAGGCAATTGCAAAGTTGATGGTTCATTTCAATAACTGTAGTTTTAAATTGAACTGGGTTGCAAAAAATATGCTGTACAGGGTATGAAATAATCAGTAGTTATAGTGATGTAGGCTGGAAATGGATCTGAGTTGCACGTACTCGAGAAATCATTTCAGATGGGCCAAAAATTGTTGCACAAATGGTTTCTGAATAAATAGGCAGACTTATCTGAAATAAAAGCATCTCTTTGCATTTTATCTCTTAGATTTATTTGCTGTTTTATACAAAACTAGCTTGGGCAGGATATGCATCAACTTTATGATGTCGAAAGAGTAACCTTATTTATGGCTCCCTTTTGTCAGGCCATTTATCTGAACAGAGAATTTTGGCAGAATTCCATATGGAGGAACTCATGCTGTTGCACTGTTATTGCATTCACTTGCTGGGCCTTTAGCCCTCTTAAGTAAGAGCTGCAACTAGGTAATGTACTTTTTCCCCTAACAGTCAAACATGAAGGCCAATTTTGCTTGACAAAAGACATCTCTCTTAACGTTACAGGAAATGAGAAAATATGTATTTAGATAAATGTTTTATCTTCATAATACAGCAGAGATGTTTTGAAATCTTGGAATCAGCTGCAAATGCAACTTTTTAAAGTGATGATGGAAGATGGAATCAGGAGTATAGTCTGGCAGATTCATAGGTTTATCTCTTCAAAAGTAGCTTTTTTTTTTTTTTTTTTTTTTTTTGTAACAAAACATTTGTATGCATGCTTGTTAATGCCTTTAATAAAATTGGAAAGTCAGCTCCAGGAGCTTGGATGCTATGTTATGCTTGGAAAAATTTGGTTCCTGAAGAGGTGTCGGGAGTTGCTTAGAGGTTGATTCCCCACCTCCCCGCCCCCAATTCGCAGTTCTCTGCATAAACTGAGCACATCCAATATATTTGATAAGTAGGCTCAGGCACATAGAGCTGTGCCAGGTCAACGCTAGCAGACCACGACGCCATCTTTGTTCATAGTCTGACATAGTAGCTTAAGCCACTAATGAAATTCTGGGCTCATACTCCACTTCGTGGGCTGTGATGGTAGAGGTGGCACAGGCAGATGTGTACTCCTGTTGTTTGCGTTACAGGATGACAATTTCTGGCAGTAGATTGGGTGCCTGGATCTGTAGTGTTATAAACCACTATTTATATGCCAGATCCCTAAGCACCCTCCACAATATGCGGGCTTTGAGTACCTCGGTTGCAATGTTGTGAATTTTAGCTTATTTTTTTAGTAGACTGTTAATGTGTTATTAGTCACAGGAGAGGAATCCAGCTAAACTACATCCTTCACTCAAGCCATAATTTGATAGTCTAAAATCATAAATGTTCAGCTTCTATTCTACCATAGTGTATCTAAAAAGAGGCTTTTGAAATACAGGTCTCCGTGTTCAGTCAGCGTGTGTTTTGGGTGGCAGATTTGCAAAAATAAAGTATCCTGTATAGTCGCATAATTAGGGGACAGCTGGAAAGTGAGACTCTTGGATGAAATTAAGATTGACAGAAGAAGATTTCATCATGAACCTGTATGAAGTTTGGTGGGGCAGTGATACAGTAGAGTGGTGTGTCCAAAGTGGACAACCCTGAATCTCATCAGTAAGAGTAGAATTTCTCCTACTTTTCTCTAATGGCCCTGCTGTGTTATGTGACAGACTTCTAATAGGTGTTTGTCAGATTTTGGTTTTGTTTTTGTTAAATTAAACCTAAAAGTTTTGTTTATTTTATGAGCTTGTAAAGGCAAGGAAATAACTTGGAAATCAATTGGACAGTTTCAGTACCTTGCAGCTATAGTTGATACTTTAGATGTCAATCATTTAATGTACAGTATTTGTGGAATTAAACCAGCTACTTTCATCATGTCTTTCAGTTTCATCTTTTCATATATTAGTAAATAAATGTAACATCTAATAAAGCAAAAGTCCCATTAGGTAATGATTTGAGTTTGAGAAACATTTGAATGAATATACTATATTGCTTTCAGCGCAATTTTTTCTGATCTTTCAAAGGATTTTTTTTTAACAAGCATTTAATTTCAAAATATGTGTAAGATAAGGGTTGTAATGCAACCCTTTAATTTCCATGTTGCTGAAAATCTTGCAAGTATTAAGCATTGCATCTTTGTTGTTACAAGTACTGTCCCAGCTGGGGAGTAAAAATAGGCCTATGAGAGACTATACTGGTCCAAGTGGTATATACATATGGTAGGTGAAGGGCTCAGCTTGGAATGCAGAGTCCTTGTCGCCTCCTTTGTAGGTTAAAAGTGTAAAGGTATCAGATTTAATGAGTCCGTATTACAAGTAGGCAGTTATTTTCTGGTTATTTATAATTAAAATCAGAGGAGTCAGTATTTCAAGGAGAAGCATTGAGTCGCTTATCTAGTTCTTAAGTTATTAATCCTTTGCATTCCAGTGCACGAAAAAACTTGATTAAAGGTGAGCCTTGAAAAAAGAAGCCCAAAGAAAAACAGATGGTCCTTTCTTCCTGGAACCGTAGCTTTGGCTTGATAAATTGTGTGCAGTAAAGTTTTCAGAAAGAGGTATTACATTTCAGTAATCTCAATTTCAGAAACATTCTTGCAGCATTTCAGTACAACTTGCCAAAGTTGGCGTCTCGAGGGAGCACTACTCTGCTCTTAGCTGTTGCTGCAGTTTCTCATCTGACATCATCAGAAATTACTGACACATTCTGCAGTGTCAGTTTTCAAGGAGAATTTCTAATGGCATTGACAGTTTCCCATGTAGTCTGGCAAGATAGGACTTCTCTACAGTACTTGTAATAGATATGTACAATGTATAGTCTCACCTATTCTCAATTAATAAGGAATAGCATTGGAAGTGATACAGGTTATGATGCAGTTGTGTTTAGCATGTGCTGTGGAATACATACTGTTTGAGTAGGTACCAAGGAATGTGCACAATAGTGTCAGATGACCAGATAATGACTAGCAGTTGCATCCTTTTCTTTTTTTTCTTAATAGTTTCATTTGTAAAACTCTTGTCATATGAACCAATAAGACTTCACTAGAAATAGAGATTTATTTTAATGATGGACAACTTGCATGTGTTTGAGATCGCAGTAATATTTGGATTTTAGTGGTTAAAAGTGCCTCAACATCTACATGAAAAATAAATTAAATTTTAGGTTTAACTTGACTACTCGCAGGTAAATGGATAGAAAAATGAGAGAGGGTAACCAAAGGGGGTTGGTGTCAGTCCATGGCTGCTACGTGTGATAATATTAACCCTGGGTTTGCTTAATGCAGATGGAAGAGATCATAGAATTGTTTAGGTTTGAAAAGACCTTAAAGATCATCGAGTCCAACTGTTAACCTAACCCTGCCATCCCAACACTAAACCATGTCCCTAAGCACCTCATCTACTCACCTTTTAAATACCTCCAGGGATGGGGACTCAACCACCTCCCTGGGCAGCCCATTCCAATGCTTAATAACCCTTTCGGTGAAGAAATTTTTCCTAATGTCCAACCTAAACCTGCCCTGGTGCAACTTGAGGCCAGTTCCTTTCATCCTATTACCTGTTACCTGGGAGAAGAGACCAACCCCCACCTCACTACCCCCTCCTGTCAGGCAGTTGTAGAGGGCGATAAGGTCTCCCCTCAGCCTCCTCTTCTCCAGGCTGAACAACCCCAGTTCCCTCAGCCGCTCCTCATCAGCCTTGTGCTCCAGACCCCTCACCAGCTTTGTTGCTCTCCTCTGGACACGCTCCAGCAATGCAATGTCTTTCTTGTAGTGAGGGGCCCAAAACTGAACACCGTATTCGAGGTGAGACTTGTGCTCCAAGATAAATAACACTGTAATTCAGTGTACAGATAAAAAGTAGGCAGGTGCTGCAGGCACCTCTGATGGATGTATCTTGAAGACTTACCATTTTTGAAAAGGCTCACTGAGACTGCTAGAGCAGGGAATTATAGCTGGGGCAGGTTGGGGCAGGAACAGGTAAGGAAAGGACAAGGTGTTGAAGGAAAAAAGAGGAGAAATGAGCAAAGCTGGCAAACCTGGAGTGCTTAGGAGCAGAGATAACTGAGTAACTCTGTCCAGGTCTTCATCTCTGTATTCAAGTTATTCTGTAGCTAACACTGCTCTTGAAAGACTGCAAGATGTAGGAGCCATGTAGTTGTTGGTTTTCATTCATCCAGGTTACTTGTGTTGTAGCTCTCAAAGGCTCAAGTTAGGTTTGGCCCCTGTTGTGTTAAGTGCTAGGGGGAAAAAAAAAAAAATGGACTTGTGCTCTATTTCAGCACTGGGCTTAGCCCCACCAATCTTTTACTGCATGTCAGTTGATCCATTATAGCTGTCCATGTATGTTAGCCTTGCCTGCAGCAAATTCAAAGTAATTTGAGTCATCTTAGTTTTCAATGAAGCAGGGCAAAACAACTCAAATTATTCTGCCTTTGCCATGGGCTAAGAGCATGCACACGGACAGCTGTGATGTATCAGAAGTAAAATACTGGTGTCGCTAAGCCTAGAAAATGTTAGCACTTAACTCAATTGGAGTATAGTTAAAGCAGCACGCTGCGGGGAATCTGCGCATTTATATTGGCATGGAAGAGTTTGTGCTGCCACAGCTACTTCTGCAGGTAGGGATATAAACACTTCAGCATAAAGCGCCTTTGTGCAGGCTATAGCTGGATTTGCATTCAAATTCTTATCAATAGAGCTTATTGGTTTAAAAAATTAGAAGTGTAACCTACTGAACTTTCTAGTATAGCTTATGTCTCAAGTATCTTTGTTATGTTAAAATAGACCGAAATGAGAATTTTGAGGAGCTGTGACATTTTGTCTTTGAGCATTTCAATTATGAGCTGCCAGACTTAATTACCTTAGTTGTTATCCTACGTGATTTTTAGAGTGGAAGTTGAAAAGTATGCTCTCTAATGGAAAGCATGCTTGTTATTCTACCAGTTGTTCACAGTGAGACAGATACGCAAGACTCTTGATGAAGTTTTAAGTGTGAGGGAAGGATTATGCTTCGAAGCAAAAATGGAGCTTATTTTGCCTGTAACTCTACATGTGTTTTTTGTGGGGAAGAAAGGACTTAGATGCCTGTTTCCCAGCTCAGCTCTTCTAGGAAAGACACAATAGGAATATTTTCAGAAGATACTGCAGAAATTCTCCCAACTCTGTCAATGGAAAAAAAAAAATACTAGCCTGTCTGCCATTCAAACTTTCCTTATCCTTTCTATATATTAAGGACTCCAGTTTCTCTCCACCCCCTTTACCTTTCCAAAACACACATCAAAAGAGTGAGATCAGATGCTGACCTTTCTTGTTCTTCCCACTTTATAAATGACGAGTGATGAAGAGAATGGTTATTCTGTCCAAGCTCACAGAATAAATAAGAGCAGAATTAGGATGTCACGTTTTCCTGACTTAGGTTCCTTTGCCACTATCAGTGGGTTATGCAACATCTGTACGGATCAGCTCATCAGGCTGAGTTACCTTTGTAGTCCTCCCATAAGGAGAATGGAGCATCTGAAGAGGATGCAGGCCTACAGAAGAGGTATTGAAGTGTAAAATCTCTCACCATTTCTGACTTGCGGTAGAGACGACATGTCCGTGGGAGAGTCTCGCACTGTTTGGTGGGGCCTATTTGTTCCCTGTGATCTAACAGCCAGAGACTGTTTCCTTTCTGTCCTTGGAGGTTCTGGAATGACACAGGGATTTTCCCTAGAGATGTACTGGGGAAGACTCATCTTTTTTAATACTTAGGTTTTCATGCTCTGTTTCACTGTATTGATGTATTTTTAAAATGCGTTCAAAAAAGCAGCTTTCCAGCCATCCTAGCAGTTTAAGCCTTTGCTTTAGTTTGCTTTAGTTCTAAGTAATGTTACGTTATTCTGATTTTACACAGTACATCAAATCAAGTTTGAAGCATTATTTTAAGATGGGTATTGTAACTGTGTAGGTTTAATGTTCCTTAACAGCATTTATAGCATTGTAGCACAAGGATTTTGTAAGTAGCATTAATACAATGGTAGAGTTAATCATCTGATTGTCCATCTTCTACAAAAATGGCATAATTTAGGAAATAGAATGAATACTTGAGTATGAATTGTCCAAATAGCATCTTTCTGATTCATGATTAAGGGAATGAATATTGAAAGAATACTTTCCCAAGAGCATGGTATACCTCTGTCTGGGTGCTTTATATACATATATATTCTGCTACTACTTAATGATTTTTTTCCTTACATACTTTCACACTTTTTTGTCTGTGTATTGGCTGAGAGATACCAATTATTCAATGGAATATTCCTTTCTAGAAGATTTCACAGTTAAATTTTCACAGCTAAGGCATAGGCCATTGTATCTGGCTAGCTTTTTGACAGCATTGTTATTGCCCTGACAAGTAAATCTCATACTGTAAACATTGTTTGAAGAAGCTTCTAATCGTATTATAAATAAACAATAAGTAAAGCAGAGATTTCTACTGGCACATACTGTATTCTCCTGCAAGAGAGTGAAGCAGGGCAAAGAAAATACAGAAAGTGTTAATATTTGAATGTGACTTAAATACAAAATTGAGAGTATTTTGGTACTGAAACAAATGTATGAGAATGATGGGGAAATCAAAGGTAAAACTGATCAGAGAAAAACCAGAATATTTTTCTTTTTTTTTCAGTTACCTTAAAATTCTGTGTTTCTAACGTTGCTGTTTGTTCACTTAGGTTGTTTTAGTAAGCAAAAAAGGTTTAGGCTTCACATACATTGGAAGAGATGATATTCTGTCCAAGTAAAAAGCAGACTACGTGGTATATACATGTATGAAATACATAGCCTGAACATAAACTGAACGTGACCATAAGAATAACTTAAAAATAGATGTAGATTACTGTAATGTTTAGAGTCTGACAGGGCAAGGCAATAGTGAAAAGCATACCAGTGTTTAAATAGACACCTTACAAATAGATTGAATCAAATGACTAAATAGACTGAATCAGATGTCTCACTATAAAATCAGGAGTGCTACTGTGAATCTGTATGTGTGAATTTTATCTCTCAGCTAGTTTGTAATTTGCTCAAAGAATTCACCAAATCAGGTGACAGTTGTTCAATTCATTATACTCCTATTAACTACATTCTTGGAAATGAGCATGGTTTAAAAAAAACTTGTCAGGAGCAGAGACTGTGCACTAGAAGATTATTTCAAGAAGCATTTCTTTATTTTCCTAGTTTGTGCACTCAAACCATTACATCAATTTTTTTTTAAAAAAAATCTTTTAATTTTGAATTTGCTTTGGGTTATTGGGTATAAAACTAGAAAAAACAGTAAAGTGGCTGATTCTAACTGAATTTGCAGAAATCTGTTCAGCAGTCTGTACTGACGAAAACTTAGCTGTATGCATGTAGTAACTTTAAGCCCTGGCTTCCCCCATGATTTTCTGCATGCTAACATCTTTTCAGTACCTACCCGTCTTTAAAATAAGGAGCCCTCAGAATTGCGTGGTTGTTGCCTTGTGGATATTTTATGCAGCAAAACACTTGGAATAATAAACTGTTAATGGCCCCAATTATTTGTATACAGCGGGATCACACGCTTCCGAGTGCTTTCCCTTCCTAAGCCCAGACGTCTGGTTCGCTGTTGCCTCAAAAGCCCTGATCAGGACCAGACCCCTGCAGAACACAGGCGCGCTGAATAACGCTTTTATTTTGGGCCAAGATAATGCTATGAAAAACCAGTGAATAATGTAGTGGAAGAAAAGAAGGAGGATGAATGAATACAATAACGAAATCCCATACTTAGGCCTTCTACTTTCCTCCTTGTTATCGAATTTGTTTTCGGGGAGGGGTCAGTATTATTAGCTGTTCTGTTACATTGCTAGAGGAAACACATAGTCCATTTTCTTGATGTGTTTAATTTTGCTTTCAACATCGGCCATAACACTCCTCTTACAGAGACAAGACATTTTTGGGGATACCAAATTTCTGAGATATTTATGGAAGTATACATAAAATTGTGATAGAAAACCAAAGATTTTTTTTTTTTCCACAACTCGCCTCTTTCTTTTGCTCATTACCACCTCCCTCCCTAGTATCTACTTAGTCCCAAATTACCTTTGCAATGAAAACACACTTAAAAAATTTCAGGTTCAAGTGTTATTTTCTTTTAAAGGATTTTGGGGTGGGGAAAACAAAGTGCAGGGTCTTAGAATTTGAAAAGCTCTATGCTTGCAACTAGCATTTCTAATACAATGCTGCAAATTCTCAACCTGCATAAGCTATAATTTGCTTTATCCCCAAGGCAGTAGGAAATTCTTATGTACAGCACATTTCTCTAGTTCAATGACAGGCTTTCCTTCTTGCTTAAGTGTAATTTTTTTTCTGTGTAGAATTATGTTCTGATAAAGCCTTACTGAAGTGTGGAATACATATCATTAGCGTGTATGTGTTACTTGAGATTTGAAGCTGCTGTTTTTATTTTTTCAGCTGTGAAAAGTTGATTTAAAGGTCAATGTGGCTAGCTACTCTACCTAGTTGGTCTTTTGCACTGCCATTTTGCAATTTTGAAGCAGTATGATGCTTTTTGGATGCTTTTCCAGGCTATGTTAGTTACTAGAAATGTCGCCTGTTACAAGGTGGCTGTTTTAGCAAAGAAGTGGAGTTGCACTGTTATGGTTTCTTTAGCTTCACTGTTTCTCTGCTGTGTTTTTATAACTGATGATTTCTCAAGAATCTGCAAATCAAAGGACAAACCCTTTTTTTTTCCCCCCAGTCAAGTAAATGCTGCCTTTGCTAGGAGAATTCCTGTTGCCTGGGAGCTTTCAGATGACCAAAAACATTGTGCAAAAGAGCAAAATATAATTACTTTTCTTGGACAATATGTTGAGCTAAACTTAACAATAATTAACTGAACAGCATGTCTCACCGCAGGCTGCACATGAGAAGGTACTTCCTTCTGCTGCTTAATCATAAATCTTGCTGATTAGCAAAACCTTTCATTTTGCCCACTGCTTTACTGAATTCCTCTTGTTTCTCTGTGCACTCCCATGTGGATCCCTCATTGCACCTGGGACTTGTTACGTGTTGTTTTTTCCCAGCAGTACAACACAGGCAGACACTGGAATGGAAATGAAAGTGAGAGCTGCCTGTGCTTTGTTCGAAGGCATGTGTCTGCAAGCCTGTGCGGGGTTCCCTCTCCTGCTTGAATCTGGTGGGATGGTGAGGCATGTAAACAGCAGGTGTTCTCCCCATCGGTGCATGGACCAAGATTTTGGTTGAGGGCAATAATTCATGGTTTCGTTGCCTTTCACTGGAGGCCTTAAAGCTTGAGCAAGTGTGGAAGATTGTTCTGCTTTGATAGATGGTAAAATAGTTTGGTGCAGTGTGCTGTGCTGGGGTAAGTGGGGAGGAAAACCTGGGCCCTTTACTATTAATCATCTGACTGTTCGATAATCTGTTCTTATTTGAGCATCAGGGTTGTTTTATCTAATTAGATATACACTTAAAGATAGAAAAAATCTTCCAGAACACTGGATATTATCTATTGGAAAGGTTAGAAAATCAAACCTGTTGTTTGTTGAAAAACTGGATGCTTCCCAACTCCCTTCCCTCTCTTTCTTTCTTCCTCCTCCCCGACACCCTACTGACATTACATTACCGCCTCTGTTTAATTTTTCATAGCCCATATGAACTGCCACTTAAGACAGGAATGGGAAACTACTGCATTATATCCTCTGCTTTAAGGCAGCTTAGTCAGGTAAAATATGAGTCACCCAAGCAGCAGCTTTCTCAGTAGCTAAAGGTGTTTGTAATTTGATGTTCACAGTGCTGTTAAAGAATGATCGCTAGAAAGAGTTTATATGCAAGTTTCCATATAATTTAAAGCCTTGTGCTGTGTGAAGAAAGGTAGAGGAGAGGGTGGGATCTGGCAGTGAGGTTTTTTCCATGCTCCCTCTCTTTTATGGACCAAAATCACTCTTCCTAAGGAGCTGCTGACCTGGGAAAGTATCAGTAGGCTTCCCAAGTGAGCATTTATTTTGCTTCTTGTTTCCCCTCTTTCCACCTGTGGACTTTGCTGCAATGAGAACGCAAGGACTGAATAGTTTAGGCCTGATGTGTGATACCACACCATAAAATGGTTTAGCACAGTACAGGTTTTGCATAAACTAATTTAGGCACAGTGTCTGGGGTACATAAAATATCCAGAAGATCTGGTCTGAGAAGTGAGAGCGATTGCAAAACACAGAAACCACAGCACAACTTTCCTAATCTCTATGAATTTTTCCACTCTGTCCCATGGAGCATCTACATTCTCAGAGTTGTGAATGGTATGGTACGAGGCGTCTCTGTTTCTGCTTAGGGATCTTTTTTCCTTTGCTGTGTCCATTTTTATTAATTTGATTTCAGATGAGGTATCATAGCATCACAGAATTTCTCAAGTTGGAAGGAACCCATAAGGATCATCGAGTCCAACTCCCTGCTCCTTGCAGGACTACCTAAAAGTAAACCATATGACTAAGGGTGTCATCCAGACGCTCCTTCAATGCTGCCAGGCTTGGTGCCATGACCATTTCCGTGGGGAGCCTGTTCCAGTGACCGACCACTCTCTTGGGGAAGAACGTTTTCCTAATGTCCAGTCTGAACTTTCCCTGATGCAGCTTCATACCATTTCCATGTATCTTCTAGAGCAACCAAATGCTTTAGCACCATTTGGTATTTGGGAACATTTGGTATGAAAAGATGTCCTCTTTATGTAACACCACGACAAATGTGAAAAAGAAGCCTGGATTAGTTCAATTTAAAATACCGGTTGTGCACCATTGTAGTGAAATGTATTATAGCAGTCGGAGATGATTAAATGCCAGAAGAGAGCATAGTTAAATTATGTAAGTTATTTTTCAGTTGCTTTAAAATTGATCTTTATTTTTTTCCTGCAGATAATTTGTTTAAATGTGGATATTTTTTGTTAATAAAGCTGTCCTGATACTTCTTGACACTGCAGATGTGGGAATGTGATATGCACATAGATGCACAGAAATTGTTGTGGTCAAAGTTTAGTTTTGTTTACAGAGGGTTTTTAACAAGTACAGTGTGCAAATTTGAAAAGATTTGCTGAGACTGCATTCTGAGTATTTCTTTTCTTAATTCATCTAACCACTTCCAGTATTCAGTTATCTGGATATCTTTCATTATCTGAGTATCTGAGACTCATTAGGTCCAGACTGCAAAAGGCATGTTAGTTATGCATGCTCCATCTGTTTAGTTGATTTAAAAAGAAAAAGTATCCACCCCATGGTACAGGTTACACATCTTTAACAATATGATTAACGTTCCTATCTAATACAGAAGAGGTTATGCAGCTTGGTTAATACATTATGCAGGCTGACTGAGTTAGGAAGTTGATTTTTAAGTTGGTGACTTTAATAAGTGACTTTCTAGCATATGTTCCTTGTAAGATACTGCCACGAACGGCATAGAAAGGAATCCCTGTAAAGAGGAGCTGAAATAAAGTGCAAGAATAGCATGCTGTAAGTCACCAGCAAAGGAAAACCAGACTTTTGAGAACTGTGGGGGGCAAAGAGGAGAACGGGAAGCTGTGATGTTTTCTCTTTGATGTAGAATATCATATCTGCAGGCTTTCTGATGAGACACCAGCCAGCCAAGTACAGTGGTAAGGCAGTGTCATGCTCCTCTGAGCCCTGTTTAAGAAAGGAGCATCACAGGGCATGTGACAGGCATGTGGAGCTCTGTTTTTTCGTCCTGCTGTCTGAACTAGCACACAGAACTTCTAATATTATGTGATATATTGTATACTACATTGTGCCAAAGAAGCCAATAATGTGACCCAGAGCTGCAGGCTCAGCAGTAATTTCATTTATTTAACTGCCTTACATTGTCAGTTTGATGTAAGGCTGTAAATCTTCACAGTTGTCTTCTGTATACAATGCAAACAAATGGACATACATCAAATTTTTCTATAATCAAGTGTAAAGAGCAACTTTGTATTTTCTTTTATTAGTAATGAAAATGATAAGAAAGCGTACATAATAAAGGCCTCAAAGCAATAGGTATTTTCTGCACAATGCACGTGGTTAACATGCACTACTAAGGATCACTATCTCTATGTAATGCAGCTTGCTTATACCCTGCAGTGCATCGCTGAGGTGCTTGTCCGTAGGGGCAGTGCCTTCCCTTGAGCAAATCTGTGTTGCACTGATTAAGGGTATTACAGTGAGGGCCATGGTTTTAAATACTTCACCTCGTGACAGCCTTGATGCTCTTCTTGCTTTCTGGAAAGCTTTTCTAACTCTGGTATCTTGAGTTTTGCAAAACTGTAACTGTTCCAAATTTAGTTATATTTATTTATTTAGATTATGCATTCTTTTGCTTCCTATCCAAAACGCCTAACTAAGTCCTCTCAATCAGAGGTGAGGACAGGTGAGCAGTACGTAAAATGTTGTGTCTAACACAATTTACAAAATATTTTGGAATAACAGACACTGTGGAAGTATCAGTGTGAAATGTTACTAAAGGTGTATTTTTTTAACCTTAGGCTGGGCGATGCAGGTTGCTGCCTTCGTTTTTATTCAGAGAAAGTGGGAAGATGACAAAAGTCACTTTGAAAAAATGCTGGATTATTTCTGTGACATTCGGGAACCACTACAACTCCTCATCTTTCCGGAAGGAACTGATCTCACAGGTAGGCTGCATTTGTCGTCATCTCGTGGAATGTTCAGCATGGAAATTCTTTGTTTATGGAAATAGTTAAAAAAAAAGTTCAAGGCATGAGCAAGACTGGGTTCTTCTGGACAGTAGAAATTATAGTTAAGGATCATGTGTGCTGATTATTTTGCGAGGCATAAATCAAGTTCCACTGAGAGGCTTTGCCAGTCTTCCTGAAATAACTTACATTTCAAAGCATCTGATGGTTTTATATTGGTCAGTACTGTACATACATTCTGTTAGCAAAAGTAGGTTTTAAGACCTGGAATAAATCACTTGCATGTTTCCATTTCCCATATTACTGGGGCAAACAGTGCAAAATCATTTCAGACCTATGGAAGAGTGATTGAAGAGGAGCACTAGTGATTCTTCTAGATTTCTTGCCGGTGTTGAAGACAACTCAATTACTAATAAAAGAAAACATTGTATAGATGTTCTGTGGTGGTTCATGCCTGCAGCATGATTTGATAAGCATCATCTTTAAATAGAAAATCAATTGCAATTAAACTTCTACCTTTTAGCTTATCTAAAAGATTTTTTACTATACTTTCCTTGCAGATATTCTCAAATGATATTTTATTGCAATGCCAGATCAGTAAATACTAGACACAGTATAAAATAACTAACATATACTGCTATATTTTCTTCTGTATTCCCAATATCCTTAAAAATGGATATGTACAGTATTCAGATGCTATCACACTGTAGGGAATTGTCATCACTTGATCAGCTTTCCGAAAAGAAGATAAATTTGTTGTACATTCTTGAACTGTTTCACATGATATCTCTTTTTGAATTACTTATTTTATATCTAAAATTAGGAAGAAGGATGGAAATTATCTCACTTTAGTGTTTTTTTTTCTTTTTCTTTTAGTTCATTAGCAGCTCTCCCCTCCTAGCTCTGAATTGCGAGACGAAATCTTAATCTTATTCATGGAGTCGGGAGACTCCTCCTTGGGTTGCTCACTCTTTCTGAACAGGTGTTTCCGTCTCAAGATGATTGAAAGAATTGGATTGATTGTAATCTACTCCATAAATTATGTATACCTTCTAATCCCTCCCAACATTCCTAGGAGACAACAGAGTTTAAAGAACTGAGGAAGTTTTGTACTGTAGTTTTAAGAAGAATTACTGAGGACTGAGACAGTTGTGCTGTGTTAACACTGTGTTGTGGAGTCCCAAAGGCGGTGGTGGGGATGCTCCTGCCTGAATGTGGAGTTGCTTAAGGAAACATGTTTTTTCTCTGCTGTTGTAACAGATATCAATGACTAGGACTAAATTTAAGTATATGGTGTTGGTACCATCCACTGATGATACCAACCATCCAACATGCAGCCAAGATTCTTCACTTAATATTAAGAAATTCTCTAATTGGATTTCTGAAGACAGATTTTTGACAGGTTTTTTTTTTTTTTAAGGCATTTCTGTTGTTCTGGTTTTCCTTCCTCATACGTGTGTAACACGTACGCTTTAACTTTGCAGTGTCAAATGGATACCCACACTAACTGTGCCATTCTTCGGAAGTCGGTTTAAGCCACAGCAGATGGGTGGTGATCGTTTCCCCTGGGTTGCTGAGTAGCCCGGGGAGGAGGCAGTGGGGTGGGAAGGAGGGGAGCGATGGGCAGGGCGGACGCTAGGGGACTGCTTCCTTGGGCAGCCGTGCTGGCTTCTGACAGATTAAGCTGTCCCGTGGTTGCCGATCTAACTTGCCATCAGTAATGAATGCCACCTTGATATTCTGTTTGTGCATAATAAGATGTATAGAGACAGGGAAAACCCCAGGGCTTTTTCTGTGAAAGTAAATAGCTGTCCCTATCTAATCGGCTTCACAGGAAACATTGGCTCTTACATTTTAGCATGTTGTAGGAGACAGGGCAAAATCCCTTGGCAAGCTAATCCCGACAAAGCAATAAGTTTATGCCATATGACAATGATAGAACGTAACAATGTATTTTGTGTAACATTCTGAAAAAAAACGATTTTCAGAAAACTTGTTATTGACATATTAGGACCTATTGCAACCTCATGTTCCATCTTTTAGAATAAGAAATAAACTACAGTTTTGTTCTGAATGGTCGCTCAATATCCTAGGGAACGTTTTGCAAAAATAGAGGCGATGGCTTTTGTTTTCTCACCAAATTCCAAAGCCACTGATTACTTTTGAAAACAAAATTCTTCTGGTCCTTAAAATGAAAAATAGCATTCTATGTGTACTTCGCTGAAAAGCAGAGTTGCTGTGCAGCTATCATTTTTTTTTATCCTCTTGGCGGCTGCATGACAATGATAGATTTACTCTTCTTTATAAGAAATTATATAATGTTTTCAGGTATTCGAGAATGAAAGATTTCAAAGAAATGTGAAGTACGACTGTATTTATACATGGGCCACTGCCTGATTTCAGGTTGGTGAAGTACTTTGCAGTGGCAGGTGCTACGTAAATAAATTTTAGAAATAGTAATGTCACGAACCCTGAATGATGTACTTGCAAACTGGATGTATAGGGTCTGAGGTAATAATTATATACTTATTTCTGATAGGTTGGTCATCTTTTCACTCTGGAGTACTTCAAGGTTAAAGCTAAGTACATCAAAGGTATTTTATTGTAATTGCTTAAAAAGAAGCCCTCAGCAGATAGCCATGTAGCCAGACTTTCTGAAGCCCCCGAAGAAAACAAAGAACCATAAGTCTAGTGCTTCTGGAAAGCTGGAATCCAACCCACCATTTTGCTTGTTCTTTTGTTTTTCTTGGTGTTCTTTACAAGACTCTTTGTAGCACTTCTTCAGAAAGCAATAACAAAAAGTGTTGCTGTATTGCTCTGTGCCTGTTAAAGCCTCATTTCCTATGGATTTGTGTCTGCATCCCTATACATGGTCTCCTCTTCACTCCAACTTCACCTTTTTCCTTGTGTTTCCTTCTGTGTGACATTTCCTCCACAAATCTCTTGCTGTCTCGGCAAGAGGCATCATCTGCTGTGGCTCATCCTCATCAATACTTGTGTTAACCAGTGGACCACTGCATGCTGGGCTGAAAGCCCTGACAGCCTATGTACCCATGGAGCCTGCCCTGACTTTTCCCATTATGAAGATCTCTACTCTTGGAGGTTCCCCTTTACTCAGCCATTGGTTTTTCTGAAAATCCTGTGGAGCTTAATTATCTTTGAACCTCTTGTCTCTGACAAACTTTGTTTGCAGGTGGCAATAGCTTCAAAAGTTAAGGGGAACTCTGTGATTGCACAGACCTTTCTTCCTTGAGGAACAGACAAAAAACAAGTAGGAAAGCCCAGATTTATTTTGGCAGGAATGTTGTGATGTGGAACACATATGATATTCTCTATGGAAGGTAACAATGAACTGCAGTTGGATTTTTCTCTTTTTCTAGTAAATATGATGTACTTTGGTAATGTAGAAAATATTGTTCAGAAGTACTGGTAGAGGTAGATTTAACATGGAATAGTTAGAAAATAGCACAAACATGGACAATTGCTTAACTTTTTCTTAAAATATCAACTATGAGCTAATGTACCTTTTATGCTTTCTATGCAAACCTCTATTAGAGAGATAAATCAGGGTTTTTTTAAAAGGGAAATTTCTGGAGTACTCGCTTCTTCTTTTACTATCTGGTACCGGTATCATTTGAGAGTAGCTGAAGTCATAGAAATACATGCATGCTTTTATCATGAGTCAAATTAAAGGAAAAGGTAGTACGTAATGTTCAAATTGCAGTGCACTAGTACTAGCAAAAAAAAAAAAAAAAGTAGTTGAGAGTTGATCAGAAATAGTTGTATTAAAGTTGTCAGAATCAGCTTTCCAGTAGGATGATGAGGGAAGTTTGTAATTCTTTTGGGTGACATCCAGCAAAACACGTCAGCCTGGACAATCTTGAATCTGTAAAAGCATTTGAGCTTGTTTGTTTGATAGGAGCTAAGACTGCATACATCTTTCATGGGGAGTACAGCCTTAGGTTTTCGTTGGGTACAAGTCTTGGAGTTTTAATTCCAAAAACTCTTCAGACTCACACGAATGCAGCTTGTTACTGCATTATGGCTTTCATCAACGTCAAATGGGAGAGATTTTTGTTTTAATTCAAAACTAGCTCACAAATTAAAAATGTAATTTGAGTTTAAAGAAATTTGAATTTATTCTTCTATCTTCTGGTTTTCAGGGGAAAAAGCAATTTAACTTCTTAAAAATCTGTAACTCAAAAATGAAGAAAATGTCGTAACATAATTTCTTCCTCCGGTTACTTTAAATGAAATTCTGAAGTGTGATGCTTCTACGAAGTGCTGACTTTCTGAGCTTTTCCAATAATTTAAAAATGTGATAAATGGGATTTGCCCACATAATTTTGAGATAAATGAGAAAAAATGTAATCAAATGATGTACCAAAGGCAGCACAGGAGCGCAAAAAAAATATGTAAGAGGTTACGGCCAGAACCTTTAAATTCTTGTTCTTTTGTGTAGTTTGACAATTGCGCTGCTGTGGTGTCTAAAGACTTAAATAAATTGGACTTCTTGTGCTTGTCACTGCCCCAAAGAACATACCCTCTGAGAGGCAGCATGTATTAGCTGAAGGAGAGATGGGAGGAGAGGCAAGTCAGTGTGACACCAGAGGAGACGGAGCATGAAGCAGTTCTGGGTGAGGGAAGGTCCCACATCACCCTCTGTTAACAAGCTGGCTGCTTTCCATAAAAATAGATTATTCTACTTATTCTTTTTTTATCATAGGAGCAAATAGAAGCAAGGAGTTAAAAATGCAAAATACGCCTAATAGGGGAATGATGAGCGAGAAGTCTGGGGGTAGATTTACTTTGGCTTAAGGACAGTGTAAGAAAGAAAATACTTGTTTCTAGAAAGCAACGCTTACTCATCTTTTTCAGAGAGAGTGAGCAAGAGGGGACATTACCCATAGCCAAATGATGTGAGTGACCTTTTGGGATTGGGGAAACCTAAACCAAGTTCATTTCCAGTCCCTGCCTCATGCAGTTTGCGTTGGTTGGAAGCAAAGAAGAGAACGTATGTTTCCTTCTTGTGTTTTCACTATCAGGCTTATAAAGGCATCTTTCACTTCTTTTATTCTTTCACCTAAGAATGTTATAATCTGGACAGCAGAATGGTGAGGCATCTGCATAAGTTTTGCAGTGCTGACAGTGTAGCCTGGTCTATTGATTAAGGAATTTTAAAGAGGTGTTTGTTGTGCGAATTCCCTTAGGTTGGAGAGGATATAAAAATGGGTTTCTAATTTCCTGGATCAGTTTTCTAACCTCTAGGTTTCATATAATGAGGAACATCACGTTTTCTGCCTCTTGTGGAATCCAGTGCTGAGCCAGGAGACTTGCTCTGAATTTCCCCCCAAAGGTTTAGGCACAGGTGTCTCGCACAGGGATCACAAACAGCGATGGGCAACAAGGCGCTTGCATCGGATAAGATGGCAGTCAGTGCATTTGTTTGTAAGTGATAGGAGAGTAAGAAACTGTTTTCTTCAAATGCTAAGAGTAGCAGGAGGGGAGGAAGGGCACTACTCTTACTTTTTGTTAGAGTGGAAGCATATCCTACCCTTGCTTTCAGGATAACATCAAAACCCTTTGACCTTCCGGACTTGCTATAATAAATATTGTTTAATGCACAAAGACCTGTGGCTTGATAGTTGTTAGGAAGGGAAGAAGGAGATGATTTTTCCAGATGGCAATGATCACTGTATTAGCTGGGAGCGTTATTCTAGTTCTAAAATCCCATTACACTAGGGTCATGCAAAAGGGGAAGGGAACAATCTCAGTTATATAAAACTTACAGTCCAGGGGCAAGACAGGGATAGAAATATCAGGAAATAGCTGAATAGTGTTGGCCAGCGTGCCAATATCCAGCTGTTCACACGTTTTTAGAAAGGCATTGTTGTAAAGGGAAAATTGGAAGATGTTTTGCAGATGTTTACAGCGAGTTCTTTCCAAGTGCAGGGAGGTGCACTAAGAGGAGGTTTGAAGATGATTACTTCAAGGCAATGGGCAGTGGAGGTCCCAAACCTTTTTTGTGGTTATCAGTTAGGTCTTGCTCGGAAGAAAACCCTGCCCATTTATTCCTTGGTTTTCCTGTGGTGCAAGTAGGAGTGCTTTGCAAACACCAAAGAATTCATTTGCATGCTTCCTCTGAAACAAAGTGCAAGTGAGCAGACATACGGAGAGGTTTTTCTGAGTCCTTATTAACTATGTGCAGTTTGAGATGCTTAAGGCTTAGATATTTTTTTTTCAGACTGATTAGCTTTATGTAGGCACTTATGGCACTTGTGTCTCAGAGCTTTGATTGACTTGATTTGCAGATTGCAAATGTTCCAATGTGAAACCCAAACTTGGATATGCAGAAAATTAAGATGATGCTTCATCTGTCCTTTGGAAGAAACAATATATTAGCTTAAAACTTTGTGATAAATTAATTTAAAGCATTTTACTTGCATTGCCACAGAATCTGGAAAGGAACTCTTGACTTGTATACTATTTATAGGAACACTCTTGGTGATCAATGTAATTTCTTAAAAAATAAAAAGTTTAAGTTGTTGAGCTAATAGTGCAATACAGTCATGTCTAAGACGTAGAAGCTGCCTTTTCATGGGAGCATTTAATAATGCCTAGATTACTCTTGCCTTTTCTGCCATTCCAAATCTTGCCCACGACTCACTTTGCAAGTTTTGCTGTTGCAGAGGTAGGGATCCTAAAGGCAAGTTCCCTTTGCTTGTTCAGAATAGTCTGTTTTCAACACTGAATGGGGTAGTAGTCGAGCAGACAAAAAAAGATCATCTGGTCACGTGTTTAAAGAAATAATGCATATGTCCAAGGAAAGATAAATTTAAGTTACATAGCCAAGTGTAATTTTAGTATTTCACACATTCTGTAATTTTAGCAACACTTTTGGAAGATGTAATGTTTTCAAGTATTTGTACATTTTGGCAATTTGGCAGGAATTAAAACTTTGAATTCTCTTTGATGAATCACTTGCTTGGCTACTGTGCAACAGTGTTCCTTTCCTCCAAATCACATGGTCAGGAAATCTGTGCACTACATCTTAAGGGCTGCATGTATGAAAAGCAGTTCTGTTATGCATGGAAACAATAGGTCACAGGGAAAAAATACTCAGTATGCTGGTATGCTATAGCATTTATTAATAGGTAAGTGATCCTTTAGGAGGAACGCCCACCTTTTTTGATGAACAAAGAGCTTATGTAATTTAGGAAAAAAAGAAAGATGCGGGAAAGTTGCATTACGGCAAAAAAGACACCTCATGCTACTGTTTTGCTGATTTGTCCACTTGTGCTAGTGTTTCTTTACAGGAAAAATTATGATGCTTGTAAGGGAGAGGACTTACAAGTATCAATTCTGTTAAATTATTAAGCAGCATACGTTTTTCATTACTTTATCTCCCATGTCTGTTAAGGTTAACTGTGGACGCTTAAAAAAAGAGCTGTTTCTGCTTGAAAAAGATGATACATTGCTTGGACAATGATTTTGTTCCTTAGATCTGCTGCTGGGATTTTAAAACACCTGTAAAACTATATAAATACAGGTTATTTAATAAGTTAGTTGATGAAATTGATTTTTTTTTTTTTTTTTTCCCATGTTGCCAAGGGAACATTGCATGTGTCCATTGCCTTTTGGGCCCGGGGAGGCAGAGCAGTACTCACAACGGAGGAGTAAGTGTAGGCAGCAAAGGCTGAGGCTTCTTGGAAGAGCCTCCAGCACATCACTGGAGGACAAATTGCTTCCTCTCTGCCTGTCTTCAGAAGTTTTCACTTTAGCGTCTGCATCTTTCTTGCTTAGCAGGCTCTGTTAGCAATTGGCTCTGAAAAGCCTTTGCTCAGTTTTCTCATGAGAGACTTCTTTTTGCCAGAGGTTTGAAACATATTTGTCACGGGGCTTAGCCAGCGCTGCTTCCCAGATGCCTTGCGTGTGCTCTGCCTACAGTAGCGAGCGTGTGTTGCGACACTGAGGCGGTTGGTCAAAAAACTAAAACAGGGTACGTCTGTGCAGCACAGGTTGGTGAATAAAACGTGTCAAGTTTGGAAGGAAGATGTAAAACACCATTTTAATGTACTAGATCAACTGTTTTCCTCAATTTAATGTTTTCTTTCTGAAATAAGTTTAACATGGTTAAACATTGACTGCAAGGTATTTCAGTACATAATATCAAACCTACAGTACTATACAGTGTGCCTTTTGAGTTTAAAAAAAAACCAAATAGAGCCACTTAACACATTTTACTGTGAAATGGGTATTGAAGTGTACAGAGAGCTATCAACAGACTTTTAATTTATAGATTTCAGACTGATAAATATGAGAGATTTGCTGATTATTTTCTGAAATGAAGTGAGAGGGTAAAAAGGCTTTTCTTGCAATCCACATTGCTTTTCCATACTGTAGCCGACTGGAAGCACACCACTTGCAGTCTGCCTCCACCTGAAAAGCTGTCGTGCATTCATACCGTGTGAACTGCTGTTGTACTGTTCCTGTTGTATAATAATGATATTTAATTCTTGGTCTACATGCACACTAATAAAAAATGGTGCTTTTTATTCTGTCCTTCAGCCAATACCAAAGCCCGTAGTAATGAATTCGCTGAAAAGAGCGGACTTCAAAAATACGAGTACGTCTTACATCCGCGAACTACTGGATTCACTTTTGTGGTTGAGCGTCTAAGGGAAGGTAATCCTGCTCTGTGTTTATATCTTCTTTTTTTCCTTTAAGACAACGATTCTCATCCATGCTGTAGAGCTGATGTTCACAAAACTGCTTGAGGTAATTTCAGAAAACTTTTATGTATCCTCATCACAAAAAAAGCCCTTGTTTGCAACCCTTCTTAAAATTATCATAATATGGAGAGATTTGATAACAGATAGTAATATCATCAGCAGATATGCAGTGGGTGAAAACAACATTTTCACTTTTCTTTTTTAATATTTTAGCTTGTTTAGCAGTCTACCTCAGAAAAGTAGTGAAAAAGATGCCAAGGAAGTTCAGCCTTATTGTCCTTAACCCTAGCTGGGTGGTTGACATCAAACACACAGACATGTATAACACTGCCCTCTCTGAAAAGCTTCTTGTTTTAACTCTGTGCGCTGAGACAACAAGTTGCTATGTTAAATGGACAAAGGGAATGCACAGGAGCATGTGGATGCAGCAAGGCAGCTGCCCGGTGCTGCCAACTTTTTCAGGGCATGGTGACTCGGAGAAGCTGCGTAAAATAAAGAGTTGTGCTGCTTGGCAGAGTGGTGGGTAGGCAAACACATGATACTTGCTTTTTACCTAGAAATGGTCTTCCATCCCTGTATTAATCTGGGGGTAGAGATTGAGTCCCTATTATCAGGAGGACAGAGTATAAAGATATGATTGCTTGTTAGATCGAGGTGTCTGGGGGTTGTTTTGGGAATGTGCATTTTGACGAGATTTGAGGCCATAAGGGTGTAACCATTAAAAGATACTGATGTGGCAGCAATTCAAATACAGATGCGTGAATGTCCGTAGGATATATGAACGTATGGTTGAAGAAAATAAACATATAGTAGATATGAAGAGACTTATTTATAGGCTAGTTCTTCAGGGAAAAGCGATTCTAGATCTTTAACACATGCTGATTATTCTGACTGCCAAAGGAAGAAGTTTGAGATTATTAAAAAGAATAAGGGCCTGCTGTTAAGAGGTTTTTTTTTTTTTCCCTTGCTGGAATCCTTGTTTGGATTTTAGGAAAAGAGCTGGCTTCCATCTTGCCTGATTCCTACTAAGCAGATACCCTAAAATCACTATAAATACTTTGATATTTTGTCCAGCTGGGAGATCCTAGCTGGACCATGTATCTATTTGACCCTGTTTTTATTGGATATTCAGTGGTGGACATCTTAGATTTTCATCTATCTTAAATGTTTATTAATCAATTTGCTGTAGTAAAAAAAAAAAAATTCCCACATATGCAATTTCAAAAGCTTGTTTTACTTAAAACTTTTCAGCACTAGGTTAACCTAGTGCATAATAATATTTCTAGCCTGCAATAAATTTTCAGTTAAAAAAAATTAACTCTGTATTTCCTGCAGAAATGAGCTTTGTGGTTATACAGTCATTTTCTAATTTTATAAAAATTGTTTTCTCTCGTATTGCTGTATGAGATCTATGCAAATTGGGGTATTGGGCTATAAAAAGGACAGTATTTGAGGCCGATTGCCTGATTTTATATAGTACAAAGCTGGGGAAAAACGAAAAGCATTCCTAGATTTTTTTTTTTTTTTGTCCAGTCTTTCAAATGCTTTTAAGTACTATTTTTATTTAAGGCAGGCAAATATTGCATGAAATATTGATTTCCCTTTAGCATTGAATTTACTAGGTATTTGATACATTGGTAGGCATTATAAGCTATATATATAATGACTGTATGCTATTATGTAGTAAATTATGTGTAAGAATGTAGTTCAACTAGCATTTTAAAATACTAAGTTATTACTTCCTGCCTTGTATCAGGAAGAGTGTGGCCAGCAGGAACAGGGAAGTGATCATGCCCATGTACTCCGCACTGGTGAGGCCGCACCTGAAATACTGTGTTCAGTTTTGGGCTCCTCACTACAGGAAAGATGCTGCATTGCTGGAACGTGTCCAGAAGAGAGCAACAAAGCTGGTGAGGGGTCTGGAGCACAAGGCTGATGAGGAGCGGCTGAGGGAGCTGGGGTTGTTCAGCCTAGAGAAGAGGAGGCTGAGGGGAGACCTTATTAACCTCTACAACTGCCTGACAGGAGGCTGTAGTGAGGGGAGTGTTGGTCTCTTCTCCCAGGTAACAAGAGAAAGGACAAGGGGAAATGGCCTCAAGTTCCTTCAGGGGAGGTTTGGATTCAATATGAGGAAAAATTTCTTTCCTGAGAGAGTGGAACAGGCTGCTCAGAGAGGTGGTGCAGTCTCCATCCCTGGAGGTGTTCAAAAAACATGTAGACGTGACACATGGGGACATGGTTTAGTAGGCATGGTGGTGTTGGGTTGATGGTTGGACTTGATGATCTTAGAGGTCTTTTCCAATCTTAATCATTCTATGATTCTACTTAAATGGTTTTTGATTCTTCACAAGTGTGCCAAATATGGACTATTTGTGTTGAAAAGTTTTATTCTTATGATTAACCTAACTGTACTTGATTGACTTAAAAAAACTTCAGTATATTATATGTCTCTCTCTCTCTCTCTCTCTCTCTCTCTCTCTCTCTCTCTCTGTAAAATGTAGGTGTCCGGGTAGATTTTCAGATACTGATGGCACAGTTGGTACCTAGCGTTATCGTGTAGCTTTGGTTTGACTTATTATTTATACTATTAGAATGCCTTTTTTTACAATTCTAATTTCTGATACTAGGAGTAATAGAAAAAAAAAACAGGATTGTTACCACTGGGTCCCTGTTTGTGGACTGTCCTAATGCTGCAATGGTAGCAATAATAAAAATAGACTTGTTTCCTTTTTTCCAGCTCATAACCTCAAGCACAAATCACTGTGTGTGACTTTAACATGGAGGAGGGAGCGGTGGGGATTTTAACATCATGTTTACGTCTTTGAAAGTATTTTTGTGCATAAATGACAACCTTATTGCCCTATAGCTCTCCTGTGAATACATTTTGGCTTGTGGCTGTTTTCCTTTCCTTTGGCTCAAGTGTCTTTACTTCAGGACTGAGTACATTATTTTGCTCCAAAAATAGGTTGATGAAGAGAGGGGGAAAATGTCATTAGAAGTTTAACTGCTTTTCAAATGTTGAAAAAACTAATTTAATTTGGCAAGAACCCTGATTAATATGCATCACAAGCTGTAGCGTGAAAGAATTACCTGTTACTATCTAGAAATAACTATTAGCGACCCTTCTGAATAGGAAATGAAGAATCAGTAAATGTTGCTTGTATCTCTGCAGGAGAGTTTCTTCCTAGAGGAAGCACTATCTGCACCCTGACAGCATAATCTGAGCAGTTATCAGAACTTTGCTTTCCATAGGTGGCAAAAATTTCTGAACAACGGGAATGGATTTTTGCCAGTGATGACCAACACTCAAATTCTTCTGGCTGCTTTCTTGCTCTTATATGGTCATTATTTCACCTATTTGATCTCTTTTGCCCGTAGATACTGCTATGATGGTTTCTAAGTCATTGCTGAGGTTGTGGGAGCTAAGAAAAAAAAAAAAATCTATATAACCACCACCAAAAAAGCAATAAAAATTGTTTAGGCAATACATCTCCTTGGCTTTTGAGTCTCTTAACTTTTTTTCCACATTCTAGCTCTTCCTGGGCGATAGCTCTTACCCCCTAGGCTGACTCTTCTAAACAAAAACCCAGGTAAAAGCTAATTGTTTTTTCTTTCCATTATGCTCAGGTGCCAAGACAGTGAAAATATTACTTCACTTCTAAATGATCACATTACTGTTTTCTCATTCATACAAACCTTAGAATCACCCAAGAGTAAACACAGACTATGAACATACTTTAGATGTATAATTAATAATATACTCAGGAGAATAAGGACTGCAGTTGTTGCTGGTTTTTAGACAAGAGAAAGACATAAATTTGATTCAGCATTGATTTTTGGAGAAATGTGTTCCTTTGGCTCAATAATAATTTTAAAGAGGATAGTTTAATGTAATGTCATTGTTTGTACATGGCAAGAGAAAATACAGCATAGACATGAGAACACAAAAAGGGAAGGACCGCACGGTAGCTGGATAAGGTCAGCTTGCTACCTGATACGCAGTGTAGAGTGTTATCTGAAGATGTGGAAGTGAACAAGAGGGGAACAAAAATTTCAGTAAGGACTAATAAAGATGGAAAAGTATTAAATATACTTAGGCTAAATATAGATTAACAAAATACATGCATTTTTCACCCCTGCAAGAAGATCATCCTTCTTGGGAACAATTATTGAATTTCTAGTCAATTGTGACAGTCTCTGCAACAGATTAAAGCAGGTTTGTGAGATTCTTCATTAATCTTTACTGATGCATGTTTCTCAAAATAGCACTGGCCATTTTTCCTGGAATGCTTTAAATTTTACTTCTGCAAACACTTTAGTCTATCAAAATACTAGAAGTGTATGACCTCAATTAATTATGCATTTTCTCAGTGCTGAAATATATCTCATCGCTTTGATCACTTATCGTGGCAGCCAGAGGAATTACCCTATGGAAGACCAAACCTCTGTTGACCAAAGTGACCGCTGCAATCCCAAGTACTATCACATCTGGTTAGTTGGCTACTGGTGGAACGCAAAGAGAAATAGAATAGTTGATGTGCTTCTTTATAATTCTGTTCACTTGGTCAAGTATATCACTTGTCTTGCCTCAGCTGTTACAAATCCTGGTTTCAATCAGCACCTGGTGAAAAATTACCAGGGCTTTATGCTGTATTTCTCTGGTGAATGAAGGTGAGCATTTTTGGAAAGACGGAGTCGGAACATGTGAGTGAGCAACAGGAAATGAACTCTAGGCACCAAAATGAAGATTGGTCATGACTTTTTGTTTTTTTAATTCATCATCATATACCTCTCTCTAATGATCTCCTAAAATCATATTTAATCCTTTTTTAAAGCCTGAAACTTTGAATAGATGTTATGTATGGAGTCATTGCTGGCAGAACTTGGGTTAAGGCAAATCATCTTTCTTTACAAAATGTGGGAATTTGAAAATGACAGAAATGTGCAGGAATT